ACTTCAAAGAGACCTTTTCTAATACAATTATAGAACTTATGCAGTATTTTAATAAATTTGTTCAAGCCAAGTATTGTTTTTTCATAAAATAGATTTGGACAAGAAAAATGATAATAAAGAGAAGGTGTGAAAGAAGTGGAATGGTGAAGTAAAGTAAATAGTAACCTAACAACAACTGACATTACAATAAACTAGGCTAACATTTGTTTTAGATGCCATTTTCCACAGTATTCAGAAAATATTTAATTTACCATGCTCATGCGAAAAGAAATTAAATTTTAGAAACAGTATGGGGCCTAAGAAATATTTTTCAATCTGTAACAAATAGGGATTTTTTCATGGAAAGTGTGCACAAATGAGATTTATTGCATCAAACAAAAATTAACATGTGAGCCTAGTGAACTAGTGAATTTTTTTGATCAACGCGACAAGTGGATAAAAATTGTTCAAGCATTTTCCATGGTATGATGCTTCCATTTCATACATACTAAGTCTTTTTCTAACCGTCCAACAAAGATTGGAAGCTAACAAATGTGAAAATACATTGTTTGTTTCATTAGAGCCACAAATGATACCACTAAACAGAGTAAATCCCTATTTGTATTAAAATAAATTCCATTTCTTAACATTTCTCAAATAGAAGATTAAATAATTTTTCAAAGATTTAAAGGTGAGAAGGAAAAAAAAGGTGATACTATATGATTATTTTTGACTGTTGACAAAGAAATTAAAATTTAATATAGATCAAATAAAAAACCCTTTGAAGATCCATTGCAACAGTTTCCAGTTCATACACATATACAAAGACTGTTTTATTTCCAATCCAACAAAAGCTGCCATAAGCAGGCATTGAAAGATAAAAATCTATGAAAATACAAATAGGGATTTTAGGGCAAAAGGGTAATTTATTTAGATCTTGGGAGTATAGTTGTCAGTTGGGTAACATCTCCTTGCAAGTGCATTGCCTTACCTCAACTTTTAATTTCTTTTTTTTTTCTATCAAAGAAATAAAAAATGTTTCAACTTAGGAGGGAGAGGCCACTCCTACACGGTGGATGTGGTGACCATGCCCACCACGTCAACCTTATTAAAAATATAAAATATGAATCAAAATGAAATCAACTGTCTCTCATTCATTTTATAAATGTAAATTTGCAGCAGAAAAATTCAGCCATAACTGCAAATGATAATTTCTTACCAAGCCTGAGGGCCATACAAGAGAACATTTTCCTGAGTTCCTTACAAAAACAGCGGATGGCCAATATTCCTCAGTAGAATTTGAGCAAGAAAAGTTAGCAAGTGATTAATTACATTGCAATTGGACTAAACTTTTTAGTTTTAAATTTGGTGCCTTTCAAAACAAAAATACATGGATTATGATCGTTTCACAGGAAACGGACAGCATGGAAAAGTGCAGAACAAGTAAGAACCAGATCAGTGCTGGTAATTACCTCCATACTACCGTAGTTATTCGGTTATGAGGCGCACTCGGCTATAAGACGCCATCCCAATTCGACAACTTCATTATTGCGTGTTTTCAAACTGAAAATATCGCTAAAATACTTGGTTATAAGGCGCATCGTTGTTTGGGGAGTAAAGATCGATCAAGTTTATTGTAAATTCTTTCATAAACTTACAAAAAAACGAAAAAGTCGCGTATTGATTTTAGTTTACCGTTAATTAACAAAAGCAGAATTGTCGCACACGCGACCACGCGCACAAACAAAAGCCTTGATTAAACAAAAGCAAAATGTCACACACATTTACAAAAGCAGAAAAATGTCACACAGTTAGTCACATGAGATAAATAAAAGGCAAAAAAAAGTCACACATTTAAATACAACCTATCGGTACATAGTAATTTTTAGCCTTCCCTCTCGGGAAACATGGTTTTAAAGTATAAAAACAATTCGATCAACAAAATCAGTAGTCGCAAATTTACTTCACCTGGTGAACATCATCTTGCGAAGTCTACATTCAGCACAATCATGCCAAACACTCGCCGTCATTCTAATGATCTCAACTTCAGGTTGAAAATCGTAATTGAAGCTGAAGCTGTTAACAACAATCGAGAGATAGCGAGGGAATACGGAATTTTCGAATCAATAGCTTCGAATCAATGGTTCGGCGATCTGAAGATGACAGCCAAGCGCGCTTCCATGGACCGTTACCGACCAAAAGATCCCGAACTTCATCAACTGCAGGCCGACTGGTTCAGTGATCAAAGGAGCCAAGGTAAGCAAATGCCTTCTTATCTAATACATGAAAGTTCACACGGCAACCAGGTGGACCATCAGACATAGTTTGATGCTACTCTGGTTTGCAGATTTAATGAATGTAACCGAAGAAGATACAATTCATAGACCCAACCTTTCGACACTCCTGTGCCTTCATCAGGAGTGATCAAGACGCTGTAACTAGAGGTCCTTTTATATGATCACTAATTAGCGGCCTTTTTTTTTTCTCTCTGAAGAGGTGTAAAAAGGCGTCAGGAAGCAAACCGCCATCGTCACGATCTAAACCTCCTCCCAAAAACATTCAAATGGATGTTTTCAATGCGCTTATAGCTCTCAAAAAGGTCCGGACAGCTTCGTATTATCTGCTGACAAGGGTAATTGTGTTGTGGTTATGGACAAACAGCAATATCACGACAAAGCTTTGTCTCTGTTTAATGACAAGAGTACGTATGCTGTCTTAAACTCTGATCCTACCAGAAAGACTCAAAGAAAGTTAAACAAAATGTTGCTTAATTTGAAAAAGCTGGTAAAATTAGTGACTCTCCGTACAAAATATTATACAGTAGTGACGGCTTTTGTCCACGTTTTTATGGCTTACCTAAAATTCATAAACCGGGAATTCCTTTGAGACCCATTGTCCTTTTGTTAATTCTCCGACTTATGCAATTTCTGGTTATCTTGCGAGAATTTTGTCGCCTGTTGTTGGGAATACTGATTACACGGATTTCAACCACAACGTTAAAGTTGCTCAAAAACCTTCTAAAAGACTTCAGTTAATATGCATTGGCGATGCGCATGTTTTGAACTAAAAACATACTTTAGTACCCACTGGAACGTATAGAGTTATGTATTTCTACTAGAACGTTAAGGACGTAACTGCCAAAAACCAGTTACAAATAGTAACGCTCTTGATGAAAGGGAACCAGCGACTAGTTTTGCTGTTATTACAGGGTGTTACGAATTAACTTATTCTACAATAGATGAACTCTATATTCCAAGACAGGATTACTTCCATATTTCGCTGCTTCACGCAGGGTCCATAGCACATCGGATAGGATATCAGAGCGAGTTCTTATTTTTTCACTCGAAGGGCGGCCGATGTAGTTTCTGAGGCTTGCTTTACTGTGATGACCGGAGATCGCCATGATAAGTGAGCTGCGATGGACTTCAGTATGATCATATTTGCTCAGACACCGTCATGATTAGTATGAATTTTAACAGTTATGCCAGTTTGGTTATATTTTTCATCATTTCTGTTTTGTTCTGTTTTGTTTTTGAACTCTGAACTTTATATACTATACGAGTGTTGGCTGTGTTTGATTTTCATTACCGTACGTAAGCTTGCAATCTAACTGAGCGTGAAAATCTTTAAAACTTGGAATGTCTATTTTGCTTTTCCTTTGAGGATTTTCGTATCTGCCCACGTTTTAATAACGTAAATAACGGCGCCTGGTATGTTTACAAACCTTTCTTTGGTTCTTTTGTTACTACTTGCGGGCTCGCTTGTTCCGAAATTTCACTTTAAATTATCGGAAAAAAGCTAAAAAGAAGTCCCGGAAAATGTCGAACATGGTACAATTTGGCAGATGGCGTGACAGCTTTAGCTCAGTTCTATGCTCTATACTCTCATAGAACACGCTCTTTCAACCAATGACAGCGCGCGTTATATCCGAACTTTATTATAATGATTTATGGCCATGTGATTTTGAATGTGACATTTCCACATCAGCGTGTTCTTGAGCTTTTGTAAAGCCGGAAGTGATACTTCTCTATTGGAGCAGATAACTTCAGACACGTATTTCTCCAGAACTTCGTCAGGTATCCTCTTTCCCCTCTTTTAGTCGTATTTTTAAGCTCTGTAGGATTTTTTTCTAATGTTGAGTGCTTCGGATTTATTTTTAGGATGCGCAACGCTTAATGTCTTAACTTTACTGAATTCGTTTTATTCAAAAGGCTTACGTAGGTTAACATTGTTTCGTGCTTATTACATCAGAATATAGTTTTTGCGTGAAAAACAAAAAATTGTTGAGTACATAACCATTACCTCCTCCTGAGAATATTAGTAAAGAAAGCACCAAAAATTGGACTAGATCTCCCCTAACCTGGGATAGCTCTCTCTTTTTAATGTCGATGAAATACCGGATAGAGTATTTTCTCTATTATTTCTAATAAAATTTTTGCGTTAAAGAACAAAAAATAATTGAATACGTAACCAATGCATTCTTCTTAGAATATTGAAAAAGAACATTGAACATTGAACTAGATCTCCTCTAATTTATGAGAGCACTTTTTTTAAATGTCAATGAAATACCGTCAGAGTATTTTCTCTACACGTTTCTATACAATTTATGCATCTAAAAGTCTTTTAGCTCTGTTTCCTTTGAGTGATTCTCATTATTTATTCTGTCGGGGTCTCTTTTTCTGTAAAAAAGTAAAAAAAACAACAATTTGTTTCAAACTCAATTAAAATTGTTGATTGCTAATACAATTATACCAAGCTCAATATGTAAAAATATAACTGGCTAACATTTGTATGTGATTGGCAGAGGCCTTTCGAAATTTTATATTTACACCAGAGAGCGTCTAAAGTAACTCTCCGAAAAGACCAAAAAAAAAAAAAAATATATATATATATATATGGATATACTAGCCTTGATGTTCAAGGTAACAAAGGATCCCCGCCGACGGTCAGCGACTGCTAAACCATAGCCACCTTCACACCTAATTTTAAATTAATTTGTGAAATATCTTTTTGAGCTGAGTCTCACCTGGCGCGTCAAACTCTAATCTCACGTCATCTCCAATCAGCGTGAATGAAGCCCATTGAGACACTTGGGTAAAACCATTTTTTCTCATCCACTTCATAGCCTGGTGAAGAGACTCACTGGCACTTTCTCCTTCAACAAGGTGTTCGTAAAACCGACTCATCAGTTTCTCTGTTGCAGAGTCTGGAATGGCCCACAGCGCAACCAACACCGAGCGAGCACCGGATCCTAAGAACGCACGGGCAATTCCTATAACTCCCTCGGCTCTTATCTCTCCACTTCCACTATGACAGCAGCTAAGTACCACCAGTTTAGCTCTGACTTTCACTCGTGAGACATCAGCCATCGTCAACATGTAAGCTTCCTTCGGGATAGCGTTTTGACTGTTGGGAGTAGGAATGGGGGAGAGTGCAATTTCTCCTCTTTCCGCGTTACCATGGGCAGCAAAATGTATCAAGCTCACTGAACTTATCCGCTCAAGTACCGCCTGCTTCGTTGCTTTCTCTTCAACTAGAGGCGGAACACCCACCAGTCGTCCGACCATCTCCGCTTCCTTTCTTGCAGCTGGCAATGGTTGCAGCCAATTAACCTTGGGATTGCCTATTACCAAGGCACCAGTGTTGCTGTGATAGTCCTCTGGACTATCTTGAATGTTCTTGAGTGTTGTCAACGAAGGAATGATACGGATCTTATGAGTCTCTGACAAATATTCGGCTCCTTCCTTTTCACTCAGGGCAGCAAAGGGAACTTTGTACAACCTGCGGTCAGGAACAATAATGACTTCAGGCTCATCAAGCAAATCATAAACGGGGGCAATGAAAATTTTGTAACATAAATGTAGACTTAAAATCACTTTCTCGTCCTCGTCCTCGTCCTCGTCCTCCTCCACGAGTCGTAATCTTGCTGAGCTCTTTTGCGCGGGGGAGAGAGGTTTAATCGTATTTAAAGACCGATCTTCACAATCTTTAGGGGGCAAAGTACCAAGACTCCGGAAATTTTCATCCAAAAATTGACTCAAAGGCAAATCTTTGGGTAACCCAGCCTGAACTAGATTCTCTTCTGGAAATACTCTTCTATAGTGAAGGATTCCACTTGTTTTCAAGATCCACAAATGCAGACTATTCTGAAAATAAGAAATGTACAGACAAGTACAGTTTTTTTGCTTTCTTAAAATGTTCTCAATGCCAAACCAAGATTGTGGATTAGCAGAGATGTGCGTTTCAACCGAGTACTTCTCTGCCATTAAGTCTGATAGGCCTCTAGCTCGACCCAACTCCTCAGCATAAATAGCATCCCGAGCATTTCCGGTGGCACAAAGCAAAGTACAAAGCAGTTTGTAAGGAAATATTCCTGTGTCCTCCAGTAATGATGTTTTGAACTGATCATTGGCGCCCAAGAAATATCTCAGCTCCTCATACTTTTCAATGCACAGATGAAGACACGACAGGGAATCTTTGATTTTATATTGGTACAAATACAAAACGGCGTAACTTCCGAGGATTTCGAACTCTTTTCTTCCATCTCCAATATCTCTGGATATTAATAAGGCTTTCTCCAAGCATACTTCCGAAGCTTCAAAATCACCAATAGTTCTAAACACAGTACCTAGGTTTCCATAACATGATGCTTCCCCTTCTCTGTCGCCAATTTCAGTTTGGATGACAAGCGCTTTTTGGAGATAATCTTCAGCCTTGTCGTATTGGCCAACGGACAGAAACACAGTACCTAGGCTTCCATAACATGATGCTTCCCCTCCTCTGTCGCCAATTTCAGTTCTGATGACAAGCGCTTTTTGGAGATACTCTTCAGCCTTGTCGTATTGGCCAAGCGACTTAAACACAGTACCTAGGCTTCCATAACATGATGCTTCCTTTTGTCTGTCTCCAATTTTAGTTGTGATGACAAGCGCCTTTTGGAGATACTCTTCAGCCTTGTCGTATTGGCCAACGGACAGAAACACAGTACCTAGGTTTCCATAGTTAGCTGCCTCCCCTTCTCTGTCGCCAATTTCAGTTTGGATGACAAGCGCTTTTTGGAAATACTCTTCAGCCTTGTCGTATTGGCCAAGCAACTTAAACACACTACCTAGGTTTCCATAGTTAGCTGCCTCCCCTCTTCTGTCGCCAATTTCAGTTTGGACGACAAGCGCTTTTTGGAGATACTCTTCAGCCTTGTCGTATTGGCCAACGGACAGAAACACAGTACCTAGGTTTCCATAGTTAGCTGCCTCCCCTCCTCTGTCGCCAATTTCAGTTGTGATGACAAGCGCTTTTTGGATATACTCTTCAGCCTTGTCGTATTGGCCAACGGACAGAAACACACTACCTAGGTTTCCATAGTTAGCTGCCTCCCCTCCTCTGCCGCCAATTTCAGTTTTGATGACAAGCGCTTTTTGGAGATACTCTTCAGCCTTGTCGTATTGGCCAAGCGAACTAAACACAATACCTAGGTTTCCATAGCTAGTTGCCTCCCCTTCTCTGTCGCCAATTTCAGTTCTGATGACAAGCGCTTTTTGGAGATACTCTTCAGCCTTGTCGTATTGGCCAAGCGAACTAAACACAATACCTAGGTTTCCATAGCTAGTTGCCTCCCCTTCTCTGTCGCCAATTTCAGTTCTGATGACAAGCGCTTTTTGGAGATACTCTTCAGCCTTGTCATATTGGCCAAGCGACCTAAACACATTACCTAGGTTTTCATAACATGATGCTTCCCCTTCTCTGTCGCCAATTTCAGTTTGGATGACAAGCGCTTTTTGGAGATACTCTTCAGCCTTGTCGTATTGGTCAAGCGACTTAAACAAAGTACCTAGGTTTCCATAACATGATGCTTCCTTTTGTCTGTCGCCAATTTCAGTTGTGATGACAAGCGCTTTTTGGAAATACTCTTCAGCCTTGTCGTATTGGCCAACGGACAGAAGCACACTACCTAGGCTTCCATAACATGATGCTTCCTTTTGTCTGTCTCCAATTTCAGTTGTGATGACAAGTGCTTTTTGGAGATACTCTTCAGCCTTGTCGTATTGGCCAACGGACAGAAACACACTACCTAGGTTTCCATAGTTAGCTGCCTCCCCTCCTCTGTCGCCAATTTCAGTTGTGATGACAAGCGCTTTTTGGAGATACTCTTCAGCCTTGTCGTATTGGCCAACGGACAGAAACACACTACCTAGGTTTCCATAGCTAGTTGCCTCCCCTTTTCTGTCGCCAATTTCAGTTTGGATGACAAGCGCTTTTTGGAGATACTCTTCAGCCTTGTCGTATTGGCCAAGCGACTTAAACACAATACCTAGGTTTCCATAACTTGATGCTTCCCCTTCTCTGTCGCCAATTTCAGTTTGGATGACAAGCGCTTTTTGGAGATACTCTTCAGCCTTGTCGTATTGGCCAACGGACAGAAACACACTACCTAGGTTTCCATAGTTAGCTGCCTCCCCTCCTCTGTCGCCAATTTCAGTTTGGATGACAAGCGCTTTTTGGAGATACTCTTCAGCCTTGTCGTATTGGCCAAGCGACCTAAACACCATACCTAGGTTTCCATAACATGATGCTTCCCCTTCTCTGTCGCCAATTTCAGTTGTGATGACAAGCGCTTTTTGGAGATACTCTTCAGCCTTGTCGTATTGGCCAACGGACAGAAACACACGACCTAGGTTTCCATAGTTAGCTGCCTCCCCTCCTCTGTCGCCAATTTCCGTTTTGATGACAAGCGCGTTTTGGAGATACTCTTCAGCCTTGTCGTATTGGCCAACGGACAGAAACACACTACCTAGGTTTCCATAGTTAGCTGCCTCCCCTTCTCTGTCACCAATTTCAGTTTTGATGACAAGCGCTTTTTGGAGATACTCTTCAGCCTTGTCGTATTGGCCAAGCGACTTAAACGCAGTACCTAGGTTTTCATAACATAATGCTTCCCCTTCTCTGTCGCCAATTTCAGTTGTGATCACAAGCGCTTTTTGGAGGTACTCTTCAGCCTTGTCGTATTGGCCAAGCGACCTAAACACAATACCTAGGTTTCCATAACATGATGCTTTCCCTTCTCTGTCGCCAATTTCAGTTTGGATGACAAGCGCTTTTTGGAGATACTCTTCAGCCTTGTCGTATTGGCCAACGGACAGAAACACACTACCTAGGTTTCCATAGCTTGTTGCCTCCCCTTCTCTGTCGCCAATTTCAGTTTGGATGACAAGCGCTTTTTGGAGATACTCTTCAGCCTTGTCGTATTGGCCAACGGACAGAAACATACTACCTAGGTTTCCATAGTTAGTTGCCTCCCCTCCTCTGTCGCCAATTTCAGTTCTGATGACAAGCGCTTTTTGGAGATACTCTTCAGCCTTGTCGTATTGGCCAAGCGACTTAAACACAGCACCTAGGTTTTCATAACATGATGCTTCCCCTTCTTTGTCGCCAATTTCAGTTGTGATCACAAGCGCTTTTTGGAGATACTCCTCAGCCTTGTCGTATTTGCCAAGCCACTGAAACACAGTACCTAGGTTTCTATAACACGATGCTTCCCCTTCTCTGTCGCCAATTTCAGTTGCGATGACAAGCGTTTTTTGGAGACATTCGCTGCATATCTCAATGGCTTTCTGAATGCGATCTGAGTTGAACAAGAACTGGGCAACAAGTAAGACGATGCTCATGAAAGGTGTCATGGCTTCTGATGTTAGGTTTGCATTGCAATCCTCTCCTGTTATCAGGGAAACATTATTTTTATTAACACAATACTAAACAAAAAAAGAAAAAAAAAAAAAGAAAACGGACGGAGTGGATCGGTAATTTGCTCGAACATAACCACATCACTTGTTATCACATACTTAATAGTTTTTCATATTTCTTTTGAGGAAGGGAGAGGTGGGGGATGAATTTCGGTTTCGTACGTCACACTTTTGTGACCAATGATAGAATTGAACATGTAAAATTAAATTATTTCATTCTTTTTTTAACCGGAAACGTCAGGCTTCTGTGTCCATCCATTTCGAAAATTGAAATCTCATTACAAGATCGATACCAACAGAACCAAAGCTTCTTTCTTTAAACGGTAAGCTATCTGTGAGCGATAATCAACTTTTCATGAACTGATATGGAAAACCGATCCGTAGTTTACTCCGCAGTGAATCTATTTCGGTTTTGTACGTCACATTTTTATAACTTCAAATCGACCATCTTTCGTTCCCCATACAATTCCTTATGACGTGTTCAACTCTGGTAAGTTAACACCGAGTCACACAACGCGTGACGCTTTCATGAATTAATCGTTTGCTTTTTCTCGAGTGTGAGCTTGGGCCGCCTCTGTTGACATCAGTAAAGGACATTCTGCATGACAAATATGTCTTAATATAGGATTGATTTTAGTTTTTGATCACGTGATTGTGGGAACCATCAGTTTCTCAAACTAAACAATGCTGAACAATCTTAGTTAAATTCTGGTTGAAATTTATTGTATGAAACCTTAACTGTTTTAAGAAAGCCATTTAACGGTGGAGATATGAAGCATCCGATCAACGGAAAAGTACGCCTATACTACGTATGCAGTAACATTGAATTTAAGAAAGTCTTAGTTTCTCTCAGAAAATTAAAACATCTCTCTTCGTGAGCGCGCAGCGTCATGACTTATCTTCTTATGCGAGGCTCTAGCGCTTAAGCAGACAAAAAAAAACAGATTACGGCGTTTAGAAAAATATGTACCGTAGAACCCGCCGCTAGTATCTAAAAATTTTAGTGAATGGTGTCTCGACCATGAAACGTTTGTGTACAAGTAGAAAACGGAAATTCAATTGGAATCTACCGCGATCTCTGAATCGATCGTTAAACTCTCCTAAAAAAGTGTCAAGTTAATAGCCAGTGCAGATCATAGCCTCTGGAAAACCACGTAATGAAGCACTACGGATTTCCTATGATGTCAGCGTGGGACAGTCTAGTTTTATGATCATCAATTTCTCAAATTGAACGATACTCAATAACCTTGTTTTAGTTAATGAGGATAAATTATACGGTATAAAGCCACAGAGATTTAAAAAGTCGCCGTAGAATCAATTTTATTTCACTGTGGTGACGATTCAATCGCGCCATCAACCGCTTTAACGAAGGGCTAACACTGAAACGTAACATATTGCAAACATAAAGATCAGGTACTGGATAAAGTAAATAATAAAGGGATAAAGTAGGTACTGGGCTTTGCCATAAGAGCCTTACCTCTCTACAGTTACTAAATGACTAAGGCTGATAAAAACCGAGTGACTAGAAAAGATTTTCAATCGCACTTACCAAGATGTTGACAATGTGGCTGATGCTTTCAAAATGAAACAACAAAAATAACGAATTACTTTTCCCAACCTTCTGAACTTCCGCTGTCACAGTATTTAATGCATCCAGATCACGTGTGTTCAGGATATTCCCTTCCCCCTCGGGGCTAATCGAAATAAAAGGAAAAGTTTTAAATTGCATATTTTTTTGTGTGCCCGTATGCCCGTCTATCGCGTCCCATTTAGGTTAAAATTTTTTAACAGTTAGTGGTCATATGATAAAATTCTTATTGACAGAATTTGGTGGGACCAGTGGGGAAAATATTAAGCTCACGGTCATGAAGAAAGGACCTCGCTGCGCCCCCTACCACTCAATAAGTCCACAGTATTTCGGTTTCGTACGTCACACTTTTATCAGTCATGATGTAATTGAACATGGAAAATGAAAAGTGTTATTCTTTTTCCAACAGGAAATGTCAGGCTTCAGTGTTTACTCCTTTGAGAGGTTTGATTTTCATCACAAGATCAATCACAGTACAACCTAAGTCTCTTCTTTTTAACGCTAAGCTATCTTTGCGTGATAATAAACTCCTTGTCTTCGTGAACTTTTCATTTTCTAGCGGGTGTGATTTGCATGATCGAAGCCAAAACTACTAAAAAAAACCAAGTGACTGTAATTCGGTTTTGCAAGTCACACTTTTATAACTAATGATGGTTATAAAATAATTGAGATAGTTCGCACGCTCTCAATAAGCCAACTAGTTAGTTTAGATGAGAGTATGTAAACACAGCTTGTTTGTTCAGCAGGAGAAACTTCAGGTTAGTATCAATGAACTTTGCACTGTCATTACTGCTACAGGGCTGACTTAGAAAGAAGTGCACAGCTTGTTGAAAAACGTGATATTCTCTACAAAACGGCGACAATTTCGTCACTGTGTGAGAGGCTAAAGACAGATGTTTGTACCTTGGTTACCCTTCAACTCACAAGATTTTATTAGAACTTCGCCCCTACAGCAAACATATCCTTGTTAATAGAGCACTTTTCGATTGAATGTCGTAAATCCAGAGCCAAAGTGATCAGATCGGCCAATCACAAGAAAGAGTGAGAATGGCGCGAGTTTTTGGACCAGAGCGAAGTGCAGCAAAACCAATACTATCTTGGATTACTCTCGACACTCAATTGAAAATTTTTCCAAGTCTTGTGACAAGATAGTGGATTCCATGTAATACTCCTGGCTCATAAGTCTCTTCCCTTTACCTGTTTGCTAAATGATGTATCGAAATGCAGGGAAGGAGCTACATTATAATCTCTTCCCAACGTAAAAGGGGTCCAGCCTCGTGAGCATAGCGCGAGTAACAAAATGTGGCCGAAAGTCTGAAGAGGAAGACATTGGTTCATTATTCTTATTTATCTTGTTAAAGGAAATCCAGAAGGCTTTGTCGGCCAAGGAACCAGATCTTTCTTCATGTAAAGAACTTGGAGACGACCTTAAGAGATACCTCGTCCAAGAAGAAAAACCAAAAGTAGATCAAGCACAGAGCGAGGTGGACGAAAAGTGGCGCTCTTTGCAAGCCGATGTGGACGAGCTGGCCAAGAAATTGTTTTCATCTCAGGCCCGTGTAGACAGTTACCAGCTTGAAGTGAACGAGTTGAAGGCGTGGCTCACTGATACTGAAGGAAAGCTGACCAATTTGGAGCCTGTGGGGGTCGAGCCAGAGCAAGTCAAACAACAGTTAGGAACACAGGCGGTAAGTTGCGTGGCTGTGCGGAAGAGGCTATGTCAGTCTGATCCTCCAATACCCCCTCGCACTTACTTAGAGTGATGAAGGAAAAAAATTAAGCTAAAGAAAACAGCGAAATTAATTGTAAAATATAAGATGTGTCTTGTAAATTGAACACGGAAGTTCTTACAATAGCGCTGGTTTTATTTGTTAAACTGGGAGTTCTCTAACGAGTAAGCGTGTTGAGAGGGTGATTTTCCTTATTCTCATTACCTCTCTGCGGGACAGTGCACTGAAATAGTAAGGAAATTGTACGTACTCATCGCCTCTGGAGTTGAAGGGGTTGGCGATCTTTTACACAAGTTTCTCGTTTTCTGTTTCTAGGCCCTCAACGCAGACGTTGCAGCCCATGAGAAACCCGTTAAATCTGTGTGCGAGAACGGCGAGGCGCTGATACCAGCACTTAAGGATGAGGAACAGCAAGCCATCAAAGACGATCTCGAAAGTATCAAGACTCGCTACCAGGGTGTAAAGAATGACACGTCAGTTAGGCAGGCAGCTTTAGTAGAGGCTCTGTTGCTGTCTCAGCAGTTCAGAGACATTCACAAAGAAGTGGTCACTTGGCTTGATCGCTGCGAGGAAAACTTCCTTAAGCTGGACGATGAATCGGTTGCGGAACTTCAACAGGAGAGAATCAAGGTAATTTTCTTTTGCTTTACTGAGATATTTCCGTTGTCTTTAAAACCTTTAGACTCTAAGAAGGCACGATCACGAGTTTGGAAAGTTCCTGTGGTGCAGCTTGCACGGGGAAGCGCGATCCTGCGACATTTCATTTCACTGGTATCTATTCATGCTCCTGGAGGGAGAAGAGGCCCCCGAGACAGTTAAGTGCCCTGCGTGGGGGCACAACACCAGCGCGTCAACCATTACCTAAACGCGTCTTACCTGTTTTCAATTTCACTCCTTCATTGAAAGAACGAGTTCTTTGGTTTCTTTTGCAGTCAATCCAAGAGGGTATCACTGCCCTTAAAGTTTTAATCGGCAATTTGGAAGAGACTGGAAGCGACCTTGTTAAGTTGAGCGGCCCAGGTGAGGCATCCACTTCAATTGAACAAAAGGTGGCAGCTTGTGTTGAGCGCTACGAACGACTTCAGCTACAGACAGAGGAGCGAGGAATTAAGATCGGAATGACCCTAGCACAAGAAGAAGAAGTGCAGACCAGATTGGACGAGTTACAGACACTGTTAGAAAAGAGAAAAGAAGACTTTGGAAGTTTGAAACCGATCAGTGTGAGACCAGATGTAATTCGTGAACAGATTGAAGAGCTGAAGGTAATTTGGCATAACTCAATGTTCAAACATGTGACACAAAAGGTTGCGTTTGTTTATTGCGCAGCGGGAATATTAAAGCGGTTTTTGATCGCCTGTCGTAATACACAACCCAAGTGTAATTTTCCTATCTTTCATTGTTCAGGTACTTCAAAGTGAGTTTGATCCAGAGAAGGAAATGGTGGAAGAAATCAGACCGCTAGCGACTGCTGTGGTAAATGCCAACCCAGATTCCAAAACATCATTGCTCAACGCTTGCATCCGATACGCAGACCATGTATGATGACAGGCACAAATCTCTAGAACTGACCCTCGATGCCGGGGACAAATTTTGGACGGGCTTAGATG